GTTGATAACTCTTTATGCTATTTTGATGACTCTTATCTTGACGTAAGTGTTAGGCTTGCATATCGCAGAAGTGGAGAAGAGTGCTAGGAAGGACAAAAGACAGTTCTACGACAACCTGGCCACTGAAGCTGAAAAGGCAGCAGGCAAAAGGGACCTGAAGACACTATATCAGATAACCAAATCTCTATCCGGGAAGAGATTAACACAAGCGAAACCTATAAAAGACAGCCAAGGGAACCCAGTCACCAAGGAAGAAAAACAGATTCAACAATGGGCGGATCACTTCAAAGGACTCTTGAACCAACCACCACCTGCAATCAACCATCGTCCAGACACACCAACAACAGCGCGTACACAACTACAAGTTGACACCAGTCCTCCAACGAAAGCTGAAGTCTTGAATTCAATTAGGCTTCTGAAAGCTGGAAAAGCAGCTGGACCACATAAAATACCCTCTGAAGCACTAAAAGCGGACCCAGAGACTACAGGAGATATGCTGACTTTATTATTTCAGAAAGTCTGGAAGGAGGGAAAGATGCCTACTGACTGGAGGAAAGGTTACCTCGTGATACTACCAAAGAAGGGCGACTTAGGACTATGCAAGAACTGGCGAGGAATCACGCCTCTATCGACGCCAAGTAAAATCCTGAGTCGCATCATCCTGGAGAGATTAAAGGATGCACTGGAGACAGAACTCCGACCAGAACAAGCTGGATTCAGGAAAGGCAAATCATGTTCCGACCAAATTGCAGCTCTATGCATCATCATCACAGAACAAAGCATGGAATGGCGATCAAACCTCTACCTCAACTTTATAGACTTTGAAAAGGCCTTCGACAGCGCTGATCGTGAAGTAATTTGGAAATTACTCGAGTACTATGGCGTACCCCAAACATTCATCGACCTTATTCAACAGCTGTGCGACAATGGCACATGTCAAGTGATCCACAATGGAAAACTCAGCGAGACGTTTGGAGTAAACACTTGAGTCAGGCAAGGGTGATTATTATCACTAATGAATGATATTCCTTATTGTGGTGGACTGGATTATGCGTCAGACAGTGAGTGAGAAACGAGAAGACAGGGATATCCTGGAGAGACAGAAGTGAAGAACCTAGAAGACCTGGATTTCGCGCGTGGATGATTTATGTTTGATGTCACGGTCACAAAATCGAAGACTTACAAGCGAAAACTGACCGACAAACTGGTCGAAGAAGCAGCCGGAGAAGACAGGAATCCCGATAAACGTAGACAAGACGGCGGTAATGAAAATAACCAACCAACAACAGCAGCAACCTCCAACGCCGATCACCATCAAAAGGAGGGATTTGAAAGAGGTTACTTCATCCATTACATTATCTAGGGAGCATTGTCTCAACTACAGGAGGAGCGGACGAGGATGTCAAATCGAGAATCGGGAAGGCGAGAAACACATTCACTCTTCAACCTGAAACCAATCTGGAAATCTTCGTCCCTCAGCCAACATCAACAACAAAATTCGGTAGGATTTTCAATACAAACAACGTCAAGTCATTCAGTTCCCTTATGCGGATCAGAAACTTGGCGGCGGGTCACAAAGAATGCTTTCAACAGGCTGTTGCAGACCTTTATCAACCAACAACTGTCTTCGCTCTATACTGAAGATCAGATTGCCGAGCCGGAAAGAATCACCAACAGGACACTATGGAAAGGAACAAACAAAGCAGGAACCAATCGCCCAACAAATATGCAGGAGAAAGTGGAGATGGATCGGACACTGGCTGAGGAGACCGCTGGGTGACATCGCACGTCAAGCCCTTGAGTGGAACCCAAAAGGGAAGCGGCGTGTGGGACGTCCAAGGGTGACATGGAGGAGATTGTGTGAAGAGAAGTTGAAAGAATATGAACTGAGATGAAAAGTACAGCAGAAGACAGAAGTGGCAAGTGGAGACGTGCAGTTGAAGCCCTATGTTCCACTAGGAACCCAAGAGGGCAACAATATAATAATAATAAAAATTTAGCAGGCGGACCATTGATATTAGGCGTGCGTCATTAGGGGATCGAATGCCGGACCACGTGCATGGTCCGCAAGAGTCCCAACTGCTGTGTTACCGACACAAGAATCATGCCCCAGGTGAGACTTCAACTCAGGACCTACAGATTATGAGACTGACGCGCTATTGGACTGCGCTACTAGGGCGCCGCAGTGAAAGTTTCATATCCTGAAGACAACCATGGATAGATTACTTTTCATAGAGTGGATTCTACCTCTCACTGTGAGACAGACCTCTAATCTGCGCAAAGTCTTAGTTGAGTTGGGTCTTAAATTTGATAGTAAAGTCAGCTTTATAAACTAAATCAACGTGCTTCTAATAACATCACCCTCTACTCACAAAACAGATATTTATCGAAATAAAGTCCAAACACTGGAAGTAGTTAGATTGTGAAATGAATTTGCAGTGATGTCGAGGATTCTAACTTCGTCCTGCTTGGAACTTGTCGGTTGGATGTACCTCTAATTCTCACTAAGTGATGGCAACCCCACCGAAACTCAAATCCTGTACCCACTTTGTTAAAGGCTCCAGCATGATCCATTAGGCTCGTATGCCATGTGAATCCCCTCCTGTGCTAGAGACAAGTATCGCTTAACCGCCTTTTTATTCTGATGAACGAATATTATTAAATCTTTTCCAAACCTTAAATGTTGTCAGTTTGATTTTCTTCCAAAGAGTGGTAGAATAAAGTGCAACAACTGTTTGATATGCCTAAAGTTTATTTGCTGTCCTAGTTTGGCGCCAACCCGCCATTAGCGTTTTATATACCATGCCAACACAAATTGTTTACTTTGATAACCTCAGAACATGAACAGAAAATATGCCAATAATATATTGAAAACTAAGCGGAAAATTTGACTAAGGAATTTAGAAGACAAATTTCAGCAATTGATGACGTCATTTTGCAGTTTCTCTACAATCGCTTTACAACTAATATGGTTCCCAATAATCAAATAAAGTTCATCACAATTACTCAGTTATATAAAAAACACAAGTACACAGTAATGATCAGTCATATTTAAGTAGGTCAGGTAGTCCATGGTAGGCAAAGGAAGGTTGAAGTCTACTGTTTTTTGTACACATAGTTTACGATGTATGTGATTAATCCTCAGAGTACTACCATCGCCTTCAATAACAAAAATCCGATTAGAGTTATGTGATGAAATAATTGTGAAACAGTCATTATTATTCATTATAAATTATTTAAATTAATCCCAGCGTGTTGAGAAAATCAAAACAAGATTTTTCTGAACGTTTCGCTACCCGTAAGCCACAGCTTCTTCAGCAGATTTATTTTCGGATTATATATATATATATATATATATATATATATAGTCAAAACTTTTTACATAAATTGAAGTCAGTTTACTTAAAGGTCATTTGTCCATGAACATTGATGAATAATTGATATCCGAATAAATCTACTGAAGAAGCTGTGGCTTACATAGAGAAACGTTCAGAAAAATCTTGTTTTGACTTTCTTGAAAACACGCTGGAATTAATTTAAATAATTTATAATGAATCAGTCTGACTCGGTGCTCAAATTATTCCAGGAAGTTCATAAAATCTACGATCTGGAAAATTATAGTCATTAATATTGGTTTTGTCACCTGAAATTAATAACTGTTTTGCAAATGGATGATGATGGATTTCTATTCAGAATAATTGCAATGTGATTCTCTAGATGTCTTATTTACCATTTTGGAAGATTCTAGTGATTCTGCCTACAGAAGTGTCACTACAACTGCAGATGAACTGGTAGATACAGTTTGAGGTAGAGTCTATAGAATTTCCTCATTTAATCGTAGGTAAAATTGATCGAAAGAGATACGGCGTAGAATGTGCGCTTGATGGCTGACTGAAGTATTTCAGCTAGCTGTCAACCTCATAATCTAATCAGCTTTGAATGGTACTTTGATAAAAATAGCTTTATACAATTGGTTCCCTTGATAAATTTCGATAAAGAAAGGAAGATGAAATTTCTGAAGTCCTTCAAAATATTGAATAGACAAAGGAAAGCAAATTTATGACGATTTACCGAAGCGATCGCAATCAAACGATTTAAACCAAACAGACTTATGCTTACAGAAAGAGAGTGTGATTAACCTCTCACTACCTTGGTAACTAAATTTTGATTTTGATTACAATAATTAGTCATCTAATTCAGTGATCTCAACTCACCGACTAAATCTTAATCTTATAAACTGTAACCTCTTTTGTTTTTTGGAGTTGCTATGTGAACCTACAAGTCAACACTGTTCTGTTAATCAATTCTTTCTGTTTTCTGTCTTACCCCTCCTCCTCTTTGCAACTTTAAAAGCGTATAAATTGATGATGAAAACTTAAACTGAAATTGTAAGGCTTACATTTCGGATGCGTCAGTTTTATAGTATCTCTTCTCCACTACCACTTACACATTAAAGTATGTTATTATCATCAGGTAGTCTGCAGCTGATGAGAACCTGTGAAATAGAATGATATCATTTTATACTGCGAATTTCGTCTTCCTTTCTTTATGAAAAGATAGCTTTCTTTGGTACAGAAGCTGTCTTTTCAAGATGAAGTCTATCCTTACTTTGATAATCGATAACGTTTTCTGGATAACCACTAGCTAATAAAACTGAATGTGTGTGTGTTTGTGTCGAAGCTTATCCATCAATGGGTCACTCGTACATATTTTGCGTACCATTGGACACAAACATTTCACTAGGCAACGTTTACACTGGATTGGAAAAAAAGCCTAAAAATGACAGTTTTTCAAATTTATCAGTATCATTTCATCTCTATATTTTGGCAGTCTCAGTGAGAGTAACTCCCTTAATCAAAGTTAAAATCTTAGTTCAATATGTTAATGTAACGTTTTCCTGAAAATCGTCTTCTAAAGCTTTTGCAAAGAATTCGAGTTCTTATCCGTTGTTTCTCTGTGTAGATCATTTCTTTTCCTTCTTTTCTAAATTTTCTTTACAGAAGAGAAAAAGATCGATTATGGTCTACCGCTGACATTTTCTGACCTTGTACAAGTCAATAAATTGTTGAACGCATTCATTACACAAAGAATAAATGGTAAGTTGGCCTATTTGCTCACATTGTTTTCCCTACGATTTAATGATTAATATACAACGCGAATTGGCAGAAGTTGGGATTTATGAACCATTGAATAAGGCTGCAGTTCCTGAATAGTCTACTATCTCGCCTTATAGCCAGGAGGTTCTCGCCTCGAACCGTGGTTGATGCGTACTGATGAATATTTTCAGACAAAGATGAGAAAAGTGCTCGGTACTCTTAGGTTCTCCAAAGGTTCTAAAATAATGTCAACCTGTCACAAACTTAGTATGTTATGGCCACCAGGAGACGCAGAACACCTTTTTAACTAACGAGTCGGAAAGACAGATTAAGATTTGAAACAAAGGTGAAAGACGGACGAAATTAAAGACGCCAAAAATAGTTAAACTGGTAAAAATAAAACACATATCGTATCACATTGTGCGTCGGTGGCACAGTGGTTAGGACTCTCGCCGACCATGCACATGGTCCGGGGTTCGAGCCCACGCCGACGCACACCTGATATCTATGGTCGGCCTGCAAAATTTGGGCTACCGATATCCATGCTGAAAATTCCACACTTGTACCAAAAATACAGTGTGGAATCAAGCTGTAAATCAAAAAAAAAACTTTTGATTGTATCCTGCGACAATGAGCATGAGAAACCGTTGTCTCATGCCCTGTGTGAGGGATGAGATGCCTCCCAAGCGCATGGACTATAGCAAGCGGTTTCCTTAAAAGACCAACTATCTCGGTGAGTCTCTGACTTGAAGGCTAATTCACAAGACAGTACAGCAGCACCAAAAGCTGATTTCCGATGGTTGCGCGTAACCGAAATAGGTTCATGCACTATTCGATCATTTCATTTTCTGGAACATGTATACACTATAAGATTGTAATCAGAGTTTCTTAGCTTCCCTCGGTTGAAGTACACATCTACTCTTCCGGTTGTAGGTGCCAGAAGCTAGCATATGTCCTTTTACTTTTGTGAAGAACATCCTGGTTGTGTGAAGGCTGTGGACAGAACTTACCGAGCAGAAGCCGCAAACTCGTAACTACATTAGATTATTTCTGCAGAAATCTATCCTCGTGGTCAGTCAAAACAAGCGGTTAATGAGTGTTTTTCATAGTAAAGCTGATAACAACGACAGCTATTGTAGAGATGTTATGTAGACAAATTAAATTTCTCTTTAGTTAGCGGGTCACATATTCATAACTCATATATAACACCTAAAAGATAATCATGTTTTTGTTTTTAATTCTATTTTGAGTTTTCCGTTGACTAATTGGACAGCAATGTCTTGCCTCACTTGACCTGTCGGCTCCTAGTACTGACGCTACGGTAATGTCCTGGCATTACGCTGAAGTACTTTAATGAATGGTGACTAGGGTTGAATCCAGGATAGTCTTGTCATACTTTTGACTGGATACAAGAGTATGCCTATTGATTGGACACTTGTACCTAGTGTGACGCGTCTAGTCCAATCGCAAGCCTAAATACCTCTCACATAACTTCCTTCAGAGTTGCCGATTTGCCTTGCTAACGAGTGCCAACTAGCACGAAACCTAGGTTGAAGGTTTCGTGTCAATTGCCTCCAATTACCTAATATCATCAAATACAAGGTGGGTTGCACAAATTTGCGCTGGAGGAAAATACTCGCCAATGACACAGTATGCATTATATAATGAGAATTGGAAGTAGCTAGAATTTAAATCCCATTTGAATCCAGCCCAGTAGCTAATTGGTCAGCAAGCTCACTCTGTAACTTCAAGGTCCTGCATTCGATTCGTGGATGGTTTATATGTGTGTACCGGGGAAGAGTCCCAAACTAGTGCGAAACGGCTTTTCAGTACTTTTTGGTCTTCAGTAGTTTTGTAACGGGTATGAATCTGTTATCAGACTTCAAATGAATCAGATGTCTACAAACTAATGTTTGCAAACCATATGTCATGTAGTTCACGTTTGTTTCACAAAATAACTAAGGATGAAGACCTCAGTATTTGAGTAATAGGTTAGCTAATGAACGTTTGTATTTATACTTCATGTTTATTATTCCACTTATCTGATACGCTGCTCGTAAATAGCACAAATATTCACTTCCCATCGCTAAAAGCTTGTTAATCGCATAGAAATTTTCATCTAACGTCATATTTCTCTCTCTTTCTTTTCAGACCATCTTATTTATTTAACAGAAAAACATGATTTAATGATACTGGACTCAAATACACTGGAGGAAAGACAGCTGTTATCCCATCTCACTATAATGGAGGTAAGCCAACATTGGTATATGCACACATGTATATGTGGCCTCCTTTATTTTCAATCACTTCACCTTTCACCTGCTCCTCTAATCGATAACCTCTATGACTACTTATTTAATTAACTGAATTCAAGTGTGGAATTTCTAGTCTTATATCTCATGGAATCTCACAGTGTGATAGAATAATGGTAAGTCGTATAGAATAAACTATGACTAATGGTGGGAATTAACAGACATATAGATAAGTCCCACCTCAACTTTAGTACAACTTATGAACAAAGAGGAAGGGGCCATAGGCTTGGTTTGAATACCACCCTAATTCCAGCGTTATTGAGAATCATACTTAAATCCTTTCACATTCCTTCTATATGCAGCCCTGATCATTTTAATTACCTAGTAAAAGACAGATCACAGCCATTTCACCACATTCACCCGGATGCAATCATCATACGAAAGGTTGGCAAAGGGTGGAAGTATAAAAAGGAATATAGTTAGGAGAGATGGAGATTTTGCTAACTGAATCCTTGTTTATCCATTCAATACTGCACACGTGCAATCGGAATGACGTAACTCCAATATGGGTAAATTATGTTTTGATAAAGTCTCACAGTGTTAGACAGTAATGTTTATTGATGACGTTTCAAGCACAATTTATTGCCACTCATAATCATATCAAGGTAATCACACAACTTCCTAACTTCATTTATATAGTTCCATTATTTTTCACTTGATTTTCATTTGATTTGATTGGTAGTAGTATTTTCCATATTTCGGGTATGAGTGATGAATCATTCCTATTGCATGTGTTAATCCAATTAGACAAAATAATACAATTTACAAAATACCCTGCAATGACCGTGAGGTCAACTACATAGGTCAAACTAGTAGGTCAGTGGTAGTCAGATTGCCAGAACATTAGAATTTTGCTAAGGTGCAAATGGTTGTCCTCACGATGGACGAGCGGTTCAAGGCGCTGCCTTCAGGTCTCAGTTCACTTTGTGGGCGTGGGTTCGAATCCCAATTCAGACACCAGGTTTATGTGTATCATGGGTACAGAGGTAGAGTGCTTGCCGACCACGTAAGTGGTCCAGGGTTCGATCCCCGGCCGACGCAATTCTTTACCTCGCTGAGCCAGAAATAATGTTAGTAAAGAGGAAAGGTTGAGCATGAGACTAGCAAAACCATCCTGTAAAATAAACACTGCTACAGAAACTTCAAGCCACTAGCTTGAAGCCAAATGTTCCACTGGGGAACGTGAAGGTAAAAATTAAAAAAAAAGAATCGTTGACCCTGAAAAGATAAGTAATTTAGAAAAATGCTCAACTATTGCTACACATTCATTAACACACAACCACACAATAGGGTGGGAGAGGGTTAAAATTCTAAAAAGTAATCTAGATAGGTGGAGAGAGAGGTTGATTACTGAATCCTTGTTCATCAAGTCTACACCCAACCCATGCAATAGGAATGATTCATCACTCATACCCGAAATATGGAAAATACTACTGCCAATCAAATCAAGTGAAAAATAATGGAACTAAATAAATGAACCAACACTTAAATAAATGAAGTTAGGAAGTCGTGTGAATACCTTGATATGATTATGAGCAGTAATAAATAGTGCTCGAAACCTGGTCATCAGTGAACATTACTGTATAACACTTTGAAACTTTATTATTATATAATTATATTCTTTAATTCCTAGAGGAACATGAGGCTTGAACCGCACGTCTCCATTGCCTTCTGTTTTCTGACAACTTTTTCACTTCGCCCCACGTCTGCCTACACGCTTTCATCTCTTCTTCATATGACCTCCTCAAAGTCACCCTTGCACTGATGACCAACTCGCCTCTTCCATTCGAGGGCTTGTCTAGTGATGTCATTTGATGGTTTCCTCAGCGTATGGCCAGCGAATCCATCTCCATTTCTTCCTGCCTATTTGTTGCATGATCGGTTCCTGCTGAGTTGGTTCGCTCATTGCCAGAGATCCCTGTTTCTGATCTTTTCTGGCCAACCTTCTGATCTTGAGTATTGAGCGGAGACAACTGTTAATGAAGGTCTGTAGTTTGTTTGAGATGCTCTTTATGATGCGCCAAGTCTCTGATCCGTATAATAGCACTGAGACTTTATCAAAACAAAATTTACTCATAATGGAATTACACTCTACCACAGTACACAAGTTTTATTCTTATTTCAAGAAATGATGCAACGCCTATACTGGAGATTTAGAAAATGGCAGTAAACAACAAAGGGAAGACAAATTGTGTATCCGTGTGACTTAACTGATATTGTAACAACAGAAGGCAAGGGCCACGCAACAGATCGTTTTATTACGAAAATCAACACGTATTTATATATATTTCCTGTATATTATTATAGCTCAAGCAAGCGCAGTCTTCTGTTTGGTTGTTTATCAGAAGTTAAGCAGACAAACGCAGGCTTCTGATTGGTTGTTTCGGGATCCCTCGAAAAATAGAGTTCTCTATCTGCAAATCATATTTTGCCACGTTATTATGAATCGCTGTGTGATAATTAAAATAAACGTATCCAATATGGAATTACATTCTACCACAGTGCTCAATTTTTACACTTACTTCATGTGACTTAGTAACAAAATATATCAAAGTGTATGAGTAACAATAAGGCTCGGAAAGTAGTGATCAATATTGCGAAATCGAAAGATTTTAATACTACTTAGTTAATTGATGTATAACCAACCGGAAATCACTTATAGGAAATAAGAGATCGAAACCTGAAGATAGTTAGTAGAAAGTCAAATGTATAAGCACTACTCAGACTTTCGTATGCAAGAAGTCATGGTAACAACACTGACACCTAGGTAATGAAAGAAGCTGGATAAAACGTTTCTAAACACAATTTTCAGGTTTTTTTTGTAGACTACTAGACCTTCAGATGCATGAAGAAGATATGAGCTTGGTCGTACTGAGCAAGTGACTGTCAGCACAGTCTCTACTGATACTGTGTGACCAGATGTAATAATGTACTTCAGGATGAGCTATCAACTGTTCTGCGTTCTCTTTTTGACAACCAAGCTGAAAGGTATTCTTAAGCGCATTTAGATAACGCTTTGCAGTTACGGTTTATGCACTCAACTTCACAGGAGCAAGCAACTGGTAGATGTATGGTAAATTTGTGAACAGTGGGACCTTGTCTTTGGTCTATTGTTAAACAAAAGTATACATGGAGAAGGTGGGGCGTGAATACTCTCCAAAGAATATTCCTTTCAGCATCCTCTTGACAAGCGGCCTCACAAAACTTCAATGATGGTAGCTGCCTTGAATTTCAAACTTGCAGTTAGTTTGTTCTCCTACATATCCAGGCATATAATTGTAAATTTTTATCTTGTATCTTTTTAAAGAAGAATATTTGTATTTTCTAATTTCAGAAAAGTGCGTTTTCGGGAATATTTTCAATAGCACCAGATTTCTCAGCAATTGCTATAGCATATGAATTAAAAGATGTAAGTTGGATACCATTTTTATCTTGCATTGTAGCCCTTTAAATACTCAGGTGGTACCCACAACGTGACTATTTAAGATTTTCTAGGAACTAGAGTCCTGCAAAGATTGAGTAGAGTGAGAGAAAAGGATAGGCATGTCCCTGTCCTAGATGAAGGTACACGTTGGTCAGATATTCACCACTCGCCAGGAATATTGTCATACTTACCTCTGCGCGACACTTAGTATATTTTTCGACTTGAGAGCCACACTTCATGCAGTTGGTTCGGAGTTGTCCAGGCAATGTCTGCCAGTGGAGGGAGTAGTCGAGAGATATGTCATTCTAGTAATAGTGCTGCTAATAAGCTCATGTGGCTTATGGAAGGTTGTCGCTTACAGTGATGGAAGCTTGGGGTGAATTGCAAGAAAGATGATTCACCATCAAAACGTCGGACAAATGGGGAAATTGGGGTTCATGACTATTATATCCTTGGATTCCAAGTGTACTATGGAGCTTGAACGGAACATGTCAACTTCATTCTTTCCTCTGAAGTCTTTTCCAATTGACTCCACTATAGCCAATAAGCTTTAATCCCTTCCTCAGACGATCTTCTTTGACTCACACCAGAGGGCTCAACTTATCTCCCACCTTTTCAGTTCCACTCGAGCGAATCTTCAGTCCACCTCGATTTCCGTTGACAAATGTGTTGAGTAACAGGTTCAAGGTTGGTTAGTTGATTAGTTGGATGTCAGTCTTCCTAGTTGCTTATCACTCCTCACTGTTCGTCTGATGTTGAGTAACGAGAGAAGGTGGCAGCTGTTGACGAAACCCTAAGCTATAGGCTTGAAGTTTCGATAGCAGTGGTGGTGGTTGCTAGCCTCGTGCCCGATCTTCCCTTTCTTACCAGTCTTACAACTGGCTTAACGAGGAAAGGGTGTGCTTCGGCCGGGGATCGAACCCAGGACCATACGTAATGGAAATTAATTTGGAGAATATGGATCTAAATTCTCTGTTCTCAGTACAGCAGATTTTCATCCTGATGTCAGAGTAATGAAGACTCATACGTCTTTGATTCTGGCCGTCTCTGATGTCATCACTTGTGTTGCCAAGATAAATTAGAGATGTGACTTCATCGAAATTTCCTCCATTGACAGTGATTGATGATTCTTGTTGTTGTTGGTCGACGAGTATCTTCATCAATTCTGTCTTCCCTATGTCCATTCGAAATCCTGACTTCCCTTCTTCTTGACATGTAACTAGTGAACAATTTGAAGGAAGGTTAAACTTATGATTAAGGCCAAGAAACAACCGCTCACACAGTATGTGTTCCCAAATGTAAATGGCTAGTCCTTCCACAATACAAAAAGTGAGAACGCCTACCGTTTTTGAAGGACTTAGTTTTTTACCGTGTTATTTAATCTCATTTGACAGTGTCTCTTGAAACTGAGCCACCAGTGTTGGGGGTGCCTTCAGTTATTCAATTGTTACTTTGCTCTATTACTTTGCTTTCCCCATACAACTCTCATCGACCTAGAGATATAAGTAAAGAACAATAATATTATTATTCCCTTAGGTTTTGGGTAGAACATAGTGCTTCAACAACGCACGTCTACTTTCTTCTACTTTATGCCATCTTTTTCACCTGGGTTCACGGTGGATCATAATCCCTCATCTTCCCCAACTCATACGATCTCATTTATATTACCTTCACACCGACGACCCACTCTTCGCTTGCCATTTGGAATCCACTTGAGCACTGGCCTGACACACGATGTCATTCGACCGTCTTGTCAAAGTAAGCCTGATCAATCCATCTTTATTTTCTTTCATATATTTGTTGAACAGTTGATTCTTAGTTGATTTGTTCCCAGCTATAATTTCTTGTTACTTATATCTCCTGGCCATTTGATCTTCAGCATTCAATCAGTGAAGGGGGAAGCTGTTCATAAAAGTCTACAACCTGTTGGAAATCCTTTCCATTACACACTAGCCAAGTTTCTGACCCATATTGAAGCACCAACTGAATATTGGGGCTGAAGATCCGAATCTTGTTTTTAATGCACCGGAGTGCAGATGATTTCTAAACTGGTTTCTGACTGATTAGAGCGTATCTTGCCTTTTCGATTCTGCCCGGCTGCCTGGCTAGCTTTGAAATCTTCATCCGTTCCTCATGTAGTTGAAACGATGCTTTTTAGATAAGGGAAGGAAGTAACCTCTCTTAAAACTCTCCACTCTGGTGGTGATGTCTGGTGTTCCTGTTGTTGGTGGTTGGTTATCTTCACCTGCAGTCCTGTTTTCTCTGCCTGTTTATCCAGTTTTTTGGTTTTCGCCTGCAAGCCTTCGACTTTGTGTGACATTAAGCATAAATCATCAACCGCAATATCCAAATCTTCTAAAGCCCTCTCATCGACGGTCCAAAGTATTCCTATCTTCTCAATCCCAACGCACTGTCTGACGCATAATTCAGTACATCACAATTAAGAATACCATCGGTGATAACAGACAGGCAGCCTCGTTTTACTCCTGTAACAATAATACATATGTCACCAGTATCGAAGTGTAGCAGTGTGCCTCAGGACCACAAGAAGTATCACGCGTTAAAAAATGCTAAAATTTCTTAGATTGGGTTAAATGGTCAAATTTCCTAGCTATTACAGTTTTACTTTCAATAAAACCTGTAGAACGCACCACCTGGGATTCGAACCCAGGACATTCCGGTTACAAGGCAAGCTAGTGTACCATTCAGACACTGGACCCGATTCAATGTCTCATGAATTCTAACTTCTACCAATTCGCGACTTTAGCGTGAACCCAACCATTGTCGTTGGTGGGGTATCCATCCACACACGTGATATCTAATTTGACCTCACTAGTCACGATTTCTCACTAGAACTCAGGAAACTGCAACCTGTAGCAAGTCGCTAGCGAGCATCGGATTAATTTTCTATAGTTTGGTTGGTAAGGGTTTGCTATAATTTTACAAATCAAACTATAGAAAATTAATCCGATGCTCGCTAGCGACTTGCTACAGGTTGCAGTTTCCTGAGTTCTAGTGAGAAATCGTGACTAGTGAGGTCAAATTAGATATCACGTGTGTGGATGGATGTCCCACCAACGACAATGGTTGGGTTCACGCTAAAATCACGAATTAATAGAAGTTAGAATTCATGAGACATTGAATCGGGTCCAGTGGCTGAATGGTATACCAGCTTGCCAGTTGGTGCGTACTGCCGATGATTCCCAAACTAGGATGAAACACCATCTGTCCAGTACTCCAGTGCTGGTTTTCAATGGTACTCTAACTGTTATCAATCTGTGATCGTAAAAACTCGTAAAAAAACATAACAAACCCTAACAAACCAAACTAGAGAAAATAAAATCTGTCATTTTTCTGACAAGAGCACAGAAAAGTGCAATTTTAGCTTAACCGCCTATCTGTACAGCTAGATAAAAAATAAAGTCTTCCCTGCCTTACTTTCCCACTTAATATCTGTAAATACGTGATTTTCATCGTTTAGGTAGTTTTATCCATCAAATAGCTTTCTACTCGCTTCTTTATTTTCCTCCTGAACTTCTACAAAGCGTAGATTCAAAGTGCTTGCAAAATTTGAAAAGGACTAAGCCAAAAAAGAAATCATATTTAATTGGCTTTGATTTTCAATGCATAGAAAAGTTAGACAAGTTTAACTGCAAAACACATTTTGTTGCTTTAAACGTTTCTTTATATGAATATAAATAGAATCATGGGAAGACAAGATTTTAACAGAGATAAACATTTTAGTTCAATTGTGGATAAAAACTTTTATTTTGATAAAATCATCAAACGGACTTATACTGCCGCCACCCTCTGTTTGTCATTTTCCAGCCGACCAATTTTGATTGCTCAAGTGAAAGATAAGTTACCTAGTTGTGCCACTTCCATGTGTATCTATAAATTTAGTTGCTCCTGTGGAGAAAGCTATATAGGTCGAACAACTAGACAGCTTAACAAACGCATTAATAAGCATCTTCCTTCATGGTTCGGAAAAGGTCAAATAAAGTCCATACGAAGTTCTATTTTGGCTCATTTGATTGATAGTGGTCACCAAGTGGACAAAAATAGTGCCGCCTTCAAAGTTATTTACCGCATTCCATCAAGTCTTTCGAACGGAATCAGAAACCGTCTTTTACACTTAGCCGAAGCTATGGGAATCGATTCGAGAGAACAATCCTAGTCTTTGTATACAAAAGAAATTTGTTCTACCTTTGTCTCTCCCTCCCTTGGCCTAGGTGAATTCTATTCAAAGCCCTCCCACCCTTTCTTATCATCCCTCTCCTTCGTACTTTTATGATATTTATTTAAACTCTGATTATCGTTCCATTTGATTTGACCTGATTTATTTATTTATTGTATTGTCTACATATATGCATATACTAACTTTGTTATTCTTATCACCTATATAAGCCTTATTAACAATATTTTGTTATTATTATAATCATCGTTATTAACTTCGTTCAAAACATTTACCACATTATTATTACTATTACTATTATTATCATGATTACTATTATTGTTTGATCCACAAAATCACCGTCGTTGGTTAAAATTTTATATATATAAGTCTATGTAAATTAGAGTAAAGCCTGAAGAAGATCTAATTGAAAACAACAATATTGTTCGCTTATATGTCTTGTTCAAATGATATTTACGTTTCAAGCACAAGTTATTGCTGCTCAAAATCACATCAAGACATTAGTCACACAACGTTCTTGCTTTATTTATATACATGAGTTAAAATGGATGATTAGACATTTGAATACAAATCAATATAAGATACATTCAGACATAATAATATGAGTGTTATCAGTCAAATGGAATCGGATGGGAAATAAGACGAGTGTTGTTATAGTCATAATAAGCAACTTGTTAGAATGTTATAATGTGAATTAAATGTATTTTAACATTATTAATTATTCTCTGATTTGACCGGTAATAATATCTTCCATATCTCTGGTATTTGCGTTTAGTCATTTCTGTTGCGT